GGATCTTTCTCACCAGTCCTGCTGTCTGAGGATGTTAATGTGTTATGCTTAATTTTTAAAAATATCAATTATAATGGTGAGCAGGAATAAAAGAGGAGGAATACAGGTTTAACACTAAGTTCTATGTCAGAGGACAGGGTTGTCCATTGAATGGAACTAGTGATAATTGATCAAAGGCCCTGTTACCTTTTTGCTTACCCACCTTCCTCAGAAAGACAAGTTTTTCAAAGAAACCTCCAAGTGAATGGTGGGTTAATCACATTTTTTTACCGGGCAGCAGGGCAATTTACAAGAGATCTCAGGCACACTGTTGCATTGAACTTTGGCGGATATTTTTGCAATTCTTTTTTTTTTAAATCCTCACCCAAGGATATGTTTTTATTGATTTTAGAGAGAGAGGAACATTGATTGGTTGTCTCCTGTACTCTCCCCCACTGGGTTTTGAACCCGCACCTAGATATGTGCCCTGACTGGGAATCGAACCCACAACCTTTTCAGTGTATGGGACAACGCTCCAAGCAGCTGAGCCATCCAGTCAGGGCCTTTGCAATTCTTGTCTCATATTTAATTTTGAGTATTTTGTCAAGAAACCAAGTAATGCCCTAACCGGTTTGGCTCATTGGATAGAGCGTCAGCCTGTGGACTCAAGGGCCCCAGGTTCGATTCCGGTCAAGGGCATGTACCTTGGTTGCGGGCACATCCCCAGTGGGGAGTGTGCAGGAGGCAGCTGATTGGTGTTTCTCTCTTATCGATGTTTCTAACTCTCTATTCCTCTCCCTTCCTCTCTGTAAAAAATCAATAAAATATTTAAAAAAAAGAAACCGAGTAATATCCTATAATTATGTTATCAGTTACTTCTTTTCAAAAGCAATAACTGTCAGGGAAAAAAAATGTTTTTTTAAGTTAGAGATAGGCTTTGGAAAAAAAAAGAAAATAAATCATAGCATTTTCATTCCTTAAAAAAACATTAAAATCATTACAATGGAAGTATAAGTAAGTAAATTTTACAGGAATATTCCCATCGAAGTTTTGCTATAAATACAGTTAATTGTGTCACTAGAGGACTTTAAAGTTATGTGTGAAATTAGAACTCTGTTACAATCATACAATAATTTGAGATTGAAATTCTTTTAGTATTCTTTTATCCGTTTTCCCTTTATAGTTCCTCATAGATGTGAATATACTTCTGAAAGTCTATCTTGATTGTCTGGGTTTTTATCTTTAAATTGTTTTTAATGTACAGTATACTGAGAAGGAGATTTGGTCACTCACACTTTTTACGAGGCCTATAGACTGTATTTTTATTTTATTTTAGAGTTACTCATGTAAATTAATAGTATGTTTGTTTTTTTTTTAATAGCTTAAACAAACCTCTTTATTATCTCAAAGGTCAGAAATCTGGGTACTTTATTTTTGTTTTTTTTGTTTTGTTATTTTTTTTTTAATTGCTAAAAGTATTACAAAGGGTATTACATATGTGTCTTTCCCCCCCCCCCCCCCCGCCCTTGACAATCCCCTGGCCTCCCTTACCCCCCAGTGTCTTATGTCCATTAGTTATGCTTATATGCATGCATTCAAGTCTTTACATGCATTCAAGTCCTTCGGTTGATCTCTTACCCCCCTCCCTCCTGCCCCCCAACCCTCCCTGGCCTTCCCACTGCAGTTTGACAATCAGTTTGAGGCAGCTCTGCCTCTGTATCTATTATTGTTCAAAAGTTTGTAATGGTCTTTATTATCCATGAATGAGTGAGATCATGTGGTATTTTTCCTTCATTGACTGGCTTATTTCACTTAGCATAATGCTCTCCAGTTCCATCCATGCTGTTGCAAATGGTAAGAGTTCCTTCTTTTTTACAGCAGCATAGTATTCCATCGTGTAGATGTACCACAGTTTTCTAATCCATTCATCTACTGATGGGCACTTAGGCTGTTTCCAGATCTTAGCTATGGTAAATTGTGCTGCTATGAACATATGGGTGCACATATCCTTTCTGATTGGTGTTTCTGGTTTCTTGGGATATATTACTAGAAGTGGGATCACAGGGTCAAATGGGAGTTCCATTTCCAGTTTTTTGAGGAAACTCCATACTGTCTTCCATAGTGGCTGCACCAGTCTGCATTCCCACCAGCAGTGCACAAGTGTTCCTTTTTCTCCA